CAGTCAAAAGCTCCGTCATGGAGCAGCTAGCCAATTTTAGTCACTCGGCTTCAACAGAAGTCTCCTTCAAAATCATACATAGTCAGAAGAGTCAGCTCAATAGGAATCCAAGGGAGAACTTATAAACAGAAGAGGCTGCTAATATTTTTCGCATTTTATGGAAAAATTCTATAATTTTATACTGAACAATAAATTGGTTGTCCCCACCTGAGTTCTCGTTCACCATATAAGAACAAGATCTAGACAATCTCTACCTAGTTCACAATGAGATCCATGGTTATCTTTTTCTGAGCCTTGAACTTTACGAAAAATTCAGAAAATCAATCTATCACTACTAAATGGTTCATTTAAAGCAGTCAGTCATAAGATACTTTCGTTAAATTTATCATACCAATGATAAATTGAGAGCTGTTCACTTTTGAACACATAAGTTTAGTTTGAACTTGTTTTATCGTTTTTTGCCAAATGATCACTGCTTCAGCGAAGCATGATGAAGTTGTGTTCTTTTTTTTTAATTAATTGAGAAAACAGCGACTACTGACTGAAAGTGAAATGATCACAAAATCAATCACAATATAAAGCAGGAAAAATTCCTTATCTATCTTATTTTAAATGGTGAACATTTTATTGTTTCTTCCAATTTATTCATCCATTTGTCGATGTATATTTTCTATTTATGTACATTTGAATGTGATGTAACTTTTAATAATTTCCTGGTTGCGGACAATTTACAAATAGTAATGGTTTGAAGCAGAACACAAACAATTCACCAATTCTACGTTATTAAACCAATTTTTTTAATTATTTCAATTTATTTAGAAACTTTTGAATGGAATTCGTCATCATACATTCCACAGAATACAATGGACAGCTTGCATGCAACTAGACAATTTTGACTTCTCAGATCACCTAGCTCTCCTATCTCATACACACCAAAAAGTTCAGGTGAAGACAGACAATGTAACAGCATCCTCTGCATCAGTAGATTTCAACATACACAAAGGAAAAACCAAAATCCTCAAATACAACACAACGAGCACTAACCAAATCACACTTGGTGGAGAATTTCTGAAAGAGTTGGACAGTTTTACGTACCCGGTCAGCATCATCGATAGAAAAGGAGGATCCGGTGCAGATGTAAAGGCACGGATCACCAAAGTAAGAGCAGCATTCCTACAGTTGAAGAACATATGGAACTCAAAATAACTGTCAACCGATATCAAAGTGAGAATCTTCAATACGAACATCAAGACAGTTCTCCTGTATGGAGTTGAAACTTGCAGACCATCACAACCATCATCAAAAACATACAATTATTTCTAAACAATTTTCTATGCGAGATAGTGAATGTCCATTGACCGGTGATATCAGCAACGACCTACTGTGGGAGAAAACGAACCAGCTTTCAGTTGAAGAGGAGATTAGGAAAAGACACTGGAGGTGGATGGGTCATACATTGAAGAAATCGTCAAACTGCATCCTGAGGCAAGTCTTAACTTGGAATCTTGAAGGGAAATGGAAAAGAGGAAGGCCAAAGAAAATACTGAGTCGAGAATTGGGAACAGACATGGAAAGGATAAATAGCAACTGGGAACAATTGGGAAGGATTGTTGAGGATAGGTTTGGACGTAAAATGTTGGTGGGCAGCGTATACACTTCCACGAAGGGTAACAGGTGGAAGTAAGTAAGCAAGTATTTAGAAACCTTCAGGTATTTACGTTGTAAATATGTATTCTCGAAAGGAGAAAATCAATCTTCAAACATGCATATCAGTTGAAGGTGGTGTTCGTTTACAATCAACATAAACGTACTTATTATTCGAAGTGATTTCTATTTATTAAGTTTCAGTGTAATTTAGTTGTAACTTGTTGCTTGATTTGTTTCAAATGCATTTCTTAGTATAATAAGTGTTCAGTGTAAAGTACTCAGTTTATGCATAAACTATACTAATGTAATAGAGAAGTAATTGATTAACAAGAATTCAAATAACAGGCCATTTGGAGCTCCCACCAATACATTTTTCTTCTTTCTCATCCATCACGAAGATTATAGTTGAAGTGTTATGTACTAGTCTTCCGGTCTATCCAGTTAGCGTAGGATTTTCTAACAGTTTGTAGTCAGAAACACAGTACAGAAACTCAATTTAAAATAATAAGTCAATGATATAACTTCATTTTCATGTTGTATTTGACGACTTCCTATGCATTTCCATGTTGTAGAATAATTACAGTCTGTCGACATTAATGCTGAGTCTTTTCGTTTGCTTTTAGAAGTTTTGACCAGCATCACCAATTGACACATTACATTGAAATCATGAGTCGATCAGTGTTAGACCACGGTTGAAAACTAGGAAGTACTGGACGGATAGTCGGGTGTAAAGCAGTTACCCAACAAAGACAATAGAAGATGATCGTGCAATATCATGATTCGCTTGAAGTTAGACACTAACATCAGTGAATGCCTGCTCAGTGATCTAGAGGTTAAGCGTCTATGTAAGACACCGAATGTCCTAAGGTTCGATTCCCGCGTGCGGAAGCAGTCCCGTAATAGGATAAAACAATCGTCTAGTGCTTCTAGATTATTAATGATAGTCTAACATTTATTGATGCATGATTTCAACGAAACTCAACAATCTTTAACAACCCTATACTTATAATCACAAAACATTATAATACAGAATATGTTCATCTGCTTAATGAAAATACTACTATTTCAATATAATTTAGTAAACAGTATTATAAAATCACTCTTAAACAAACTAAATGGTTTGTTATAAACACAGGAATCAATGAAAACAAAAAACAACAATACATCAACTAGAATAGACTATATAATAGAATAAGAGAATTGAAATGTCTAGATTGTCTTAAAATAATGACATGAAAATAAAATGGATTGTTAATCAAAAAAAATTTACATGTTAACAAAAGAAAAATGTGAAAAAAAAACACAAGAACAAATAAAGTTGCACGATGTATTTTTTTAAAATGTGAAATACCGAAAAATAATTTAGTAATGAATTCAAAGATTTTCAACTAGAGGATATTTCTAAGCAATGATGGATAGTGGCTAGCAGTAGAATCCAGGACGCGCGTTTCGTCCTATGTGGGACTAGTCAGCTGGATGTACCTGCATCTCATAGAGTTGATATTCACTCTGGGACTCGAACCCAGTACCATTCTCTTCAAACGCCATTGCGTTATCCACTCAGCTACTGAGTCCTGATAGCCACTTGCTTGTGCAATGGGGTGAATTTGAATTCATTTGGTATTGTTATAAATTAGTTAAGTAAATGTAAGTGAATAAATGTTAATTTTCTTCTCTTTTGTTTGTTATATCCCAATAAGTAAAAAGATTATATTATACCTGACATTTTTGTGACCTAATTGTAAGCCATTTCTTTAGAGTAAACCAATAACTGATTATGGCAACCATACTTGTGATATTTACATACTCAAGCGTACCGTGACTTTGATTGTACGAGAAATATTCTACATTGTTTTCTTTGTACTATTTAAATTTGTGTTAATTTTATTTCGGTCATTGATTTATTCTGAAGAGGTGGTTTACATTAAGTCAAGAAACGTCAGAAATACAATTTTTCTAGTCACTGGGATATAACAAAAAAAGGAAAATAAACATTTATTATTAACTTTCTACCCAGTGATCAATTTATTTGAAGATAACAAGTTTAACCTTAGTATTGATATTTACGAAAAGAATAACTGGTTTAACAATTGAAACCTTTAGTTTTTAACTGTTAAATTCGTAAGTTCAAATTACATCTATTCCATCCATTATTGAACAGTTTTGACAGATAGAATAGTATCACTTTGATACTCGGTATCTGACTTCAACTGTATCGGATGAACACAATCATCACATTTGTGGCCAGCTGATCTGACTCCGACTTGAATCGATGTATTAGTAAGTTATGAACATAAATCTTCCATTTAACTCCGTATATTAACCTAGGCTAACCCCGTTTGTGTGACAACGGTAATAAGAAGCCAAATACGGATTGAGTTAGAGGAATTTATTTCAAGGATCTGTTTATCCAAACAGACACTCAGAATAAAAAGCGGGAGAATGAAGTGGAGAAGGCAAGTGAGCCAACTAGTTTTGATAAAGCGAGACTCCATATTTATAATCAGACAAAAATAAGTTACAGACACGAAATGAATAGGATGTGAGTAATTAACACATAAGCTCAAATAAAAACACTCAAGGTTAATAAGTGAATAATTAACAAAGTCAAAATGTGATTTAACATGAATAAATAAGTCGGTTTGTTCGGAAGCTAAAACAATCGATGTGAACTTGACGTAGGATTAAACACTACATCACTACTAGTCATTATCACAAATAAAAAAAATACCTATCACAACGTCAAGTATACGTGTGTTTGAATATGGTCAGTGAATTTATTTTACCATGTATGGTGATTATAATTTAAATCATAGAAATTTATATTCACAAATAATGAATGATAAACAAAATGAAATTTAATTAAATGATGATCATAGTAATAATTGAGATCATGAATCGATCGATGTTAGACCATCATTGAAAACCTGAAGGCACTGGACAGCTCTTTCGTTTTAATATGGGACTCCTCAGCAATGCGCTTCCACGATCCTCGTCAAGTAAAGACAGGTATCCACCTCAGACAATCGAAGATGATCACGCATTTTCGTGCATTGGTTGAAGTTAGACATTAAAATTATTGGATGCCAGCTCAGTAGATTAGAGATTAAGTGTTCGCGCGCGCGATCGAATGTCCTGGGTTCGAGTCCCGTTGGTGCAGGATGGTGGATGCGCACTGCTGAGGAGTCCCATACTGCGACGAAAAGTCCGTCTAGTGCTTCCAGGTCTTTAATGGAGGTCTAACATTGATCGATGCATGATTTTGATAAAAAAATTTAGCAATCTCTACGACCCCATACTGATAATAATAATAATAACAATGATAATAATAATAATAATAATAATCAACTTACAGCTTTTTCTGTGATTAAAATTAAAACATCATTACCATTGCATGCTCCAATTTTCCATTTATTTCGAATATTGTTTGCATATTGTACGATTGAAGCATTTTTACTTTAACATTGAGAACGATTCAAGTTTAATTGAATTCAAGATCAAGAATAAAAAAGCGGAATGAAAAGTTTCAATAATTGAAGAACACTTTTCATAAGCTAAGTGTATTTTCAGTTTGAAGACAATTCTTGATGAGATTATAATTTATGGACGACCTTTGGGCAACTTTAAAATCATCTTAGAATGTCCACCTACTTTATTAGGGTTACGAATTAGTGTGAGGAATTAGGATTACGATTTACAGTTGAACGTTAGGCTTACGAACTAGATTTAGTGTTTTCATCATGAACTTACATCAGCTATAATCCCAAAATAAATGGCATTTAGCCAAATGAGTGAATGAATTTCGTGCCCAGATTCAAGATCTGCTATCTTAAATCTGATTGGTTCACCTATAAATTATAGTTTCGTCCGATTTTTCCTTAAAACCAACAACAATTAAACAATCAATGAAAATCAAGAATTAAGTGTTTTGTCCCAGGTTTTGGTTTTTTAACGAAATGAATTTATGATTTCATATGGGATTAAAACTTAACACCATTATGAATGACACGATAATCATATTCAGTTGGTGAGTTGCATTTTGAAGCGCTTAGAATATCCATTTCCAATCTAATTATCATAGGTTCTGACTAGGGCATCTATAGATCCATCTTGAAATAAAGCAATAATCACAGCACGAGAGTATCATTTAGTCATGGTACAACTGATTAATTACTGAGTAGAGACCAATGCTACATATGTTCAGCCCTCTAATACTGACCGAATCCTATCGACCAAGTTACAGTGGGTCCATTAGTATAGGTGACTCAGTATTGAGTGAACGATTTTAAGATATTAGGTAGCTATCCAAAAAGCGTCGGACCTAAGTCTCGTGTTAGTTGACACTCATCAACAAGGTTTTTCTGTTATCTTGAGAGAACTCATGAAGTCTGTGTGATTTTAAAACTCTTATCACCCAGTTCCAAAAACTGAGACGCTGCCATTGAGCTATTTCGGCTGCAACTGAGATCCTATAGGACCGAGATAATTAAACTTGATTGACTACCGAATAGTGACCAATAAGTTTGTCTAACCCTAAGTGCTGATTAGATTCAATCAAACAACTTATCCGGTTTTACTGAGTAAATATTTACTTACTTCAAAGATGGTCCTCCTCTCTGGTTAGTACTGGTTAGAGTAAAACTAGTGAATACTAGAGAGTTGTTTCACCTACGTTCACATTTCTATATAAAGAATGGGGAAAATTGTATGACGATGTATCGTTCAGTTTTAACTACCACTGTTTATTCAAAATAGTGATAATATTGACCAGGTTGAATCTATTAACAACAAGAAAGTCGTATCGCCATACCTAACATGATTAAATGCTAATTATTAAAAAAATTTAAAAAGTTAAAATGTGATTGATTAGTTAACATCACCTTGTAATACTTATTTGCTGGCGGAATAAACAAAGAACTTTGAAGTTCTATACAAAACTTATTGATGAAGTACAGACTTATCTGTTCAGCTTAGGACCAAACTTTTGTGATATGAAGGCTAGTGATGTTATCGGATAGAGTGGGATTCGGACATTAGGCCTACTACTCTAAATCCGATTACTTTAAACACCAACCCACGACATGAATCCTTAAAATCACGAAAACCAAAGAAAATAAAAATACACGATTAATGGAGTTAATCTTATTTGATTTTCAGAATCGTATTATGCAAGAAGATGGCAAGAAATGTCCAAACAAGGATAAGAGGAATATGATGACATTACTGCTGCATCGATAACTGCAACGGCAAACCAGAAAGTGTGTAAAAAAGAAAGATTTACGAAACATAAAGAGAAAAATACATATCTATCACATCAAAAATACTAAGTAACTTACTTTGAAAATGGTTTCGAAACTAGTGCTGTTACAACAAGTCTAGCGTTTTGATTAACTTCATTTCTAAAACACGGATGACGACATAAACATGGTGTTTCTCGAGGATAATGTAATAACAATTCATTTATTGATTGTCCTAGAAAAATATTTTTTTAATTAAATATTAAAAAAAAATTTGGTCCAACGATTTGATGCTAAAATATCTGAAAATACTGAGATATGAATATTCGAAATGTACACTAAACACGTAGCAATATACTGAACCACTTCGTGGCTATTTGGTTTGCAAATAGTAGGAGCAAATGACAATAGTTGAGTTTAACCTTTAATCATATTAATCACTCAGAGTTGTAACACTACAAAATGGAACTAAAAAACCTCTTAAATAAACCGTAATGCTCAAGAAAAGATTCATAAAAACAAAAATGAATAGATCGGAAACAAATAAGCATATAACTAAAATATGTTTAGTTTAAAAGAATAATACATTTTTAGTATAAGCGCTAGTGATTTCAGCCCACTGTTAAAATGAAATTAAGAAAAAAATAGGGCATTTAGATCTGTAATCCCTAGTAGTTGAAAATTAAAAGCTCTAACTATTAAATCATTACAATAAGAGGGGGGAGAATCTTGAAATGTTGATAAATTTGGAAATCATAAGTAATAAACGATTAAAATTTATAAATCTGGTTTGATAGGTTGTTTTTTATTGAAACACTGACAATACTACTTAAGTATTCATCATGCTGTACTAATGCAGTATGGTTAGTTAAATCGATGTACATGTATCTCAGGTTCTAAATTGTTGATATATATATATATATATATATATATATATATATATATATATATATATATATATATATATATATATATATATATATATATATATATATATATATATATATATATATATATATATATATATATATATTATATATATATATATATATATATATATATATATATATATATATATATATATATATATATATATATATATATATATATATGACAGTTTAAACTAGTGAATCCAAGCATTAGAGTAGATAAGTACAGTAATTATAAATGGTAATTTCAAGTGTTTAAAGTGAAGTATAGCATGAAAAAGAAGAAAATCGAAATGACCTGAGAAAATCTTAACGATTTTTTTATTCTAGTTTTTAGTTACAAAAATAAGCCACGCTTAAACCTGTGTATAAGTTTGCAATCATTGAGATTTTATGGAGCTTGAAATGTAAATTAGGCAGAATGACTATCTATAATCTACTGGGTTAACTATACCAATATTCAAATAACTTTAAAGTATTAGAACACGTCTATGTTTTGGTGGAGTTTTGTTCTCCAGCTCAGAGAACAAAACTCCACCAAAATCATCCACCTGAGCTACAAATCTTCTCCACCATCACACGTCTATGTCATTTGAACAGTGATTAGAATTTAACTTGTGACCTTTGATTTTAAATGATTTTAAAACATTGTACTGGACAGGTAGAAGTACTCAATATCTAACAGTAGGGTTGTAGGTCTACGACAAACATCATTTTTTTCATCATCAGTATAGGGTTGTGGAGATTGTTGAGTTTTGATTAATATCATGAATCGATCAATGTAAGACCACCACTGAAAACCTGAAGGCACTAAACGGTCGTTTCGTTCTAGTATAGGACTCATCAGCAGTGTACATCTACGACCCCGCATATCGACAGTCAAAACCAAGACCTTTAGTCTCTCACGCGAACGCTTAGACTCTAGACCACTGACCAGGCATCCAACGGCGTTAATGTCTAACTTCAACCAATCCACGATACTGTGCGACCGTCTAACACTGTTCTCAGTGAGTAACTGCCCCACAACAGACACGGTTGAATTCCATTGGTCATGGCTTCTCGCTAGAACTCCAGAAAATCTATCTTGCAGCTAGTCACTAATGAGCACATGATACTAGGAAGAAACGGCTGTCCAGTGCTTCCAGGTTTTCAGTGGTGGCCTAAAATCGATCCATTCATGACATCAATCGTTTTTCTCAGTTGCAATAATAGGGTAGTAACTTAACCCTTAACATATACATGAACAACTATGACTTTAAGCCAAATACACATATCTATGTACAGTTATAAAGTTACACGTCATTACCACTTATTAACATAATGGACGAATAGAAAAATAATCTAAATAGAATATAACAAAAATAACATAATGATTATTTATTAGTCTGTATCCCCATATCATTCAATGAACTTCCTTCCCAAATTAGAACCAAACACTTGCATACATTTTTTACGAAATTTTAATAGTAGTGGTAGTGGTAGTGTTGATAATAATAATAATAATAATAGATTGGATATCGGTATTTAATTAACATTACTTGCCAATAATATGGAATACTCTAAAAGAATGAATTATAATCAATGATGTCCTTCAAAGAAAAATGTTGCGTTGTCTTTAATTTTGTTTATGTAAATATTTTGCATATACATATATACGTATAATAAATGCCACTACCATCCAACAGATGACTTAATCATGTGATGATTAACACATGAGGATAAGATGAAAACCTATTACATACTAACTAATGAATTCCTTAAAAATATAAAACAAGGATTATGCCATAGCTTTTTATTAATTTTAACTTAGAGAATAGGTTATGAATTATCATTTGTAACAAGTTTAAAATATGAGTAAGAGGAGAAGAAGAAGAACATGGAGCACAAGTACTAAACAATACTATTGATATTGGCATTATCATTATTATTATTGCTACTGCTTTGATATAGTGATTAGGAGATTAATTTGTTGAGTCTAAGGTTAACGGAATGATTTGTTGGTTTAAGTTTAATCGGATCAAAAATAAATTACTACATGGTGTAATTTGAAAATTAAAATTCTAGCTGTAAACTCAAAATTACATTGCTTTCTTTAAATGTAGAGCGAAAAAAATAATGTTTATTCAATAATTAGAACTTTCAAACATTTTATCTTTTAATGCTTTAATGAAGGGGTAACATTTGTGTTATGTCCTTAGTTTATACGAATATAGCGAAGACATACGATTGCCAATTTAGATACCCTGACTTATATGAAAAAACTAATGACGTATACACCAATATGGGCAGCCTAAAGTTCTGATTGGTCGTTCTTCCGCCTAACCATGCCTGTTAAGTCCAGAACGCCAATATCAACCTCCGCTATACGAATCATATATTTCAAACATACTGGGTTTATATACAAACAAATCAGACCACCACACACCATAAAGTAGAAAATAACATTTGCAAAAGATCTAGCCAAAAGTGACTGTGATTGTGAGAAACTGTTACTAGTAAATTGGGAATATCTCAAGAATAGTAAATCATATACAGTAACGAATAGGTCAAATAAAAGCTTATAATGAAAGGAATATGAATATACATATAACACAGTCACTTAATAGCCACACAATAGGAATATTCGTATAATATTAGTCCATAAGTAATTCCTAATCGTTACCATTCATTTATTGTCGTCCGGATATAACAATTTGTAGTAAACTCATAATACTGAAAATGTTGATTAGTCTTAGAAACTTTCGCTTAGAATATATGAAATCTAAAACCATGATTTTTTGCCGATAGTCCCTAAATATATACCATCAATTTCTGTATATTTTTGATTACTCTAAAGTTGTAGTGGGACAATCTTGACATTATTCAGTTAATGAATTCAAACATTACATCAATCCGAGCTGTTATGTAATAATACCTGGCCTTAAAACAATAAGTGTGGCTAAACATCAAGTGTACAAACTTACAACTAGGCAGTGATTTATATCAATCCGATGGAATACTAGTTGTTATATATAATAGATTACTACTAATTTGGTTGTCTGTCAGTTCATCGGCACTACTTTTGCATGTCATACATAACTTAAGATTACATATCTTTATCCAATAATAATTTTTTTCAAATAAAATTTATGAAAACTATGTAAATTCACACAGGACGTTTTAAATTATGAAAATTTTCAGTTGTGAACTTATCAATCAATTACTATTCATGGTGTGAAAAGAAATGAGTTCACATTTATTGAGTAACCTCCTTATTTATGATGATATAATGTTGGCACCCCTGAAATCTAGATAAAATGAGGCGTTTTCTTTTAACCTAATATAATTTGTATGTTAACTACGAGTAAGTACGTACATAATGTATAAAACTTGATGACAATACACTATCCTTTATGTGTTACACCAATAAATTTATTATGAGAAATAAACACGTTTATGTATCTCATCTAAAATATATATTATAAAGCTGAAAACAATCTTAAACGTCGGTATAAGAACATTAGAAATTTTAACAAGGACTTATAAGTGAGCAGATGTATCAATGTAGCTTACCGCCCAAAAAATAAATATGTCCTAACTCAAATAAGATGTAGGTTGTGCCACATAGATATTTGTTAAGGAATGGGATACCTAGATTGGTGTAACTCCACAAGTAAATGAAACAGTTAACAAATTCAGCGACTTCACATAAGTATTTTTCAACTATATATTTATGCATATCAATTATCATTCTACATTTAGCAGTTGTTAAACGCATATCAAACATTCTTACTTTTTTCCAGTATTTCAGAACCATTAACACATTGAATACAAAAATATAATATATCAATGAAATTCATATATAACGCCTAAATAATTTTAAATTAGATTAGCAAAATTCTTTGCTCTTTGTTTGGCCTGAAACTGGTTCACTTGCCAATTTACATAAATGGACATGTTGACATGATCCCGACATCAAGAGTAAGATTATTGGTTAATTTAATATGATAATCATTTAATTTAACGTTCGATTATACTTTGAAAATTTCAGTCATTAATTAGTTCAGTATGTTATTCTCTTGCAACCTGATAATTTCTATTGTATTCACTCAGTTTGTGACATTTGTTCAGTGTGAAGTTTGTTTTTAAATTACAAATATTCAACTGCGTTTCAGAGTCATACGCGACGTAGAACCTGGAACATATTTACACAGACTTATGTTGTCACAACTCATTAACAAAGTGAGATGGAATTGTTAGGGCAAATCCTAGTGATATAGATAGTAACATTATTAGTGACATCAGAAAAGACTAGGCATCGAAATTTACGATTCGATAAGATAATACGGATTAATGGTACAAACATTTTATACGGGAATTAAAAAAGCTTTGGATTTAAGGGGAGATAAAAAGTGGATGCACCTGTGACATTGTGAGCGGTTTTGATTCATGTTACTCAGTGTACAACCGTCGTCTATAATAATCACGCAGACCACAGCCAGGTAGTCGTCACCTACTCAATATTTACTGAAAAAATTCCTGTATAAAAAATGACATTTCCTCATAAAATGTATCCGTCGAAGTCGTAGTCCAGGCTTTGTCTCCATGTTGTCTGTTTAGTTTGAGGATTAGGTAAAGAGTATTGGGGGAATATGTTTAAAGAGTAATTGTGTGCGCTCACTTAGTTGAACTAAGACGTACTAACTGGTTGCGTTAATATTTTCGAATAGATTAACAAAGATTGGACTATGAGTCTTTTATAACAAGAGGAAACTAAAACAACGAAATTTATCAAGGATATTTTCACTAACCTAAAGTTCTAAGAACTGATTCAGAGAAACTAGAAAAAACTACTCAACCAGAGACATAATGATTAGAAGAAAATGAAGTGGCTAGATTAAAATTATATTCGTACCCCTGCAAAAACGTTCCTAATATTATTGTCGTTATTATAGATTTCTAACGACTTGGTTCACATTTCGAGTGAGAGAAAAGTGCAAACATACCGATTAGCTCATTTTCAAAGAATCAGTCGTAATGAAAGTAAAGAGGTACCACAAGCTTGATATGTTTTATATGGACATATGGTTTTAAATCCGTATGTACACACTGAAAGTGTCAGAAAGTTGAAGAATACTTTTAAAGAAAATCGAGAGATATGGCTATGTCAGTCAGTCAGCTACAATGTAGAACCAGGCACATATATGCATCGATCCAAGTTACCATACCTCATAAGCACAACAAGATGAACACCAAATTCATAAAGTAGTTACTTTAATGGTAGTAATATATAAGAGAAAGATTGTGTATAAGGATATAGTATAGGGAGAAAGAATTAGAAAAGTATAAAGTAATTTTAATCTCACGACTTAAGGGAAGACAAAGAGTGTATACGCTGACGCTGTTGTAACCGAATTCGAGCCATGTCACCCAGAGTCTCCAACCATTGTTACGATAGTCACGTGGATCCCAACCAAGTAGTCTGCATCTACCAACATGACAGAGACCAGAAGTTAGTGACTTTGTGAACCGGTACCACGTTTTGGTTTGGCCACCCTTAACTTTCTTCCAACCATCCCCAACACTAGTCAGCATTGAGTGTCGTGATAATCAGTGTTCAGGAATACGTAACACGTTGCCCAAACATCTCAATTGATGAAGATTTACAACCTCATTGTCTGATTTACCATCTTCTGGCTATGTTCTTGACATGTGACGAGTTTTTAAAAAATCATTTTATTAGGTTAGAACATACTTGACAGGTATTTTCCTGAAATGTTGTAACTCGATATCAGGAAATTAAAAGAGAGAAAAATGGGAGAAGTTATTCTATAAACAAAGTCACTATTAACGTTTAACGTCTAGACACGATGAACACTAGATTTTCATGTTAAAAAAAGACAACGAAACTGAGGTAACTCACTAGCAGAATAGTCAAGAATTTTATCAGGATCACAAACGTATCCCTTTTTGTCGAGTCCACATTTCTTGAAGTCTGATGAGTAAGGACTGGGGGGGAATTCGAATTCAACATCTGAACCATTTGAATTATCAATTAACAGAATTAAACTAAAATGCCAAGCAAGAAAGCTTTTGCGGAACATTTCATTTAAATTATGAATGGGATCTGTGTAAAAGAGAATACAAAACAACAGCGATTTGTTTTTACAACGAAAGTGAACAGAACGAAATATATGTGAATTAATACATGATGAGGCATTTAAAAATATAACTTATGTACAGGCACGTGTAGTGAATTTTTCTGCATTAAATCAGATTCTAGTGTAAAAATTTCATTATTGGCAATCTATCTACTGTTTACGACTCATACTTAATCCCATGTAAACAAAAACTTTAAAAGCCAAATTAGACAAGTCTCCTGTGTCCTTACTAATTAATGTGAGCCATAAGATGGGCTAAACTTTATCAAATTTTTTGTCAAAAATCGGGCCCTACTGATAGAAAACACATGGTTTTATTTATTCCTCTATTATTTGCTAAACTTCCTATCCGTGCATGTCAAGCAAGTCACCCTATATGCATATACAGAATTTTATGCCTATTGAGACACGAAAATCGTATCTTAAAGTTATGTTGAAAACCTAGGATGAAGAGTATGATTAGTTAGGTGGGAGATTTAAGGATGCTCAAGTTGTTGTTCTGAATTCCTCTTAGCCGTTTCCACTTCAGGAGTCCAGTACCGGTCTAGAGATATAGGGCTCAGCCGAACAAACTGAGTAATGCAATGAGTAACTAACGCTAGTCCATTTGAATAGCCACAGCCTAGATTCAAAAACAAGAACTCTTCTCGATGAAATGAGGATAAAGAACACTAATTAATAGAGTTAAACGATTTTGAGGTGATTTTTGTTTATTTGATGTTATTCATTTGCCTGGCATTTTTTACGTCTGAACCGCTCAATAAAATGGATCATTCTTCACTGGATGAAGGTTATATAAGCTAGCGTTGACAGTGATAAACAACATAAAATGTGCCTATCATCTTATGAGACAATTTAAATTACTGCTATCAACTGTTTCACGTTTGAGAGTGGAAAGACGAGGGGGATAGGAAATGTCACAGTGGGTGAGAAAGAAAACACATTAATACGTGATATTGTAACAGAGCTATTTGTCTGGAGTTCAGTGGTAGACCAAGTTTACTGAGACAAGAACTGTATCCAAAAAAAAAACTTAGTCGGTAGTAACTCTAACAATTAGAGAACAAATAGCAATTATGTACCAAAGCGTATAAAGTTACTTTATTGTAATCTAAAAAGCAACGGCATAAACACACTAACTACGCACTTTTAAAAGGTTAACGGCATTGCAAACCCCTAAATGAATTATTACCTACTAAACCGAACCGTACTAAGATCTACGGTCACTAGAGTATAATATGGTGCCACGATTGTAACGAAGCAATGCAGTGATACATATCGAACTAAAGATCCAAAAGGCACTTTGTTAAATGAAACACACGGAAATAGATGTAGACTTCATACAAATAATTCTAAACTTCGTCTGGATGCCGTCCGGAAGAATCTCGTGACTAGTTTCTTAAGAGTAGTAGTAGTTCGATCTTCAATGCGTATGAAGTCTACAAGTATATCATCTGAATTACGGAACATTGAAATCACTCCTTACTGAACATACAAGAATAAACCTGAATATTGACTATGAGGATCTTCAGCAAGTGAATGGCAAAATGTTTGAAATACTAACACGAAGAGCAGTAACTTGTTTACGTACTAAAAATTTTAACACTTTCTACTTTTCAAAATGTTGTACTATAATAATGATAGCTCTACGAACAATTTATTTTACATCACATAATGTCTAAAGTATATCACGAAATCACCAAAACGACGAAGACCGTCCCTCCAAAACAACCTTCTTAAACATAGCGCCCTGCCCTTAATAAACTGATATATTTTATTCTATTCTTTAAAACACTGTTGTGAACACGACTAGATTAGGTAGGAAACACGTCCGTTTCAAAACGAATTACTTTCCCGAATGTACTTATCATGTAAAGTATCTTACTTGACTTTTATATATGTATACGTTATGAGAAGTCAGTACTTACAACAATGAAGAATATGAATGAAAATAAATTGTACAAGTCACTATTGGGTTCGTCTTTGAGGGGTGATATTTGCCACCTCATATAAAAGAGATCTCCTATATAACTTGCGTTTGTGGTATCTGGATCTCCGTTGATCTCTGTCTTGCCTACTGTATTAAATTGTTGTTACAGTGATGGAAATGAACAAAGAGTCTAGACGGAAAGAGCCTAACTCGGACAGTCTTTCTGGTAAACGAATTTACTGTCTGCTCAATAAGACTGTCAAGATTAAGCAACAACAGAAGCTCTACAGTATCTAACTTCAATGCACATTCATTCCTCACTGCTTACGAATTCCAAATATAATGCGCTCATTTGTGTCCAATACCATACTGTGAATTACTCATCTCCGATTGTAGACCGTCTATCCTGGATCTGGAGGATTTGAGAATGCTTCACGTAAATCCTTCCTTATTGGTCGCTGAAGACGATTCTAACAAAATACTTGGTAACTTGTTAACTACATAATCAAAGTGCGAAGAATTTCGCATGACTCTAAAGCACCTAAATTCTGGGGCTCGTGTAGGAAGTGTTAAGACTTTGAGAACAAACAAACGAACAAAAATTCAAGGGCACAAACAAGGGAATGGATGAAGATTTTCAGTGTGGAATTAAGAAACCAAACTCAGAGTGACCAATAATGAAGTTGATTAAATCAACAAATTTTCGTTAAGCCATTCACTCATCGATGGAGTTATGTAATATATAGTTCTGCAAGAAGCTTGCTTGGGATTCTAAAATAAAAATGCACTATACACAACTCTCTCAGTATGTGCTACAAGTCTGTTACATGCGTGATTTCTATGTGGTATACGTCTTTACATCACAACTCTTAAACCGAAAGTTGAAACCCTTCATGATTAGTACGAAAAGAAAAAACAAACTGCTGTTTAACATAACCAAATGAGAAAAATGACATAATAACCGATTTTTCTCATTGTACAATGGACAAACCACTACTAGCCTTATTAATATGACATTCGATAATCTAGGCTATATATCACCGATAATTCATAAAGCCAAGCTAGACTATCCAGCAAGACCAAACCATCCAGCTCATGGAAAAAAAATCCACCAAAATAATCTACCTGGGCTACGAATTTTCTCCGTCATTTTTGGAAAGGTATATCATGCCTGATAAATCTTCTCATTGCGAGCGAATATCGGGCTGAGGCAAAAGACCGGAATATTTCTGTAGATGTATTTTTCATAGATCAGAGTGAAGCCTTTGATAAGGTAGATTCTAAAAAGTGTGGTGCTCCACTTGAATAACTGTTACGATTCGTATCACTGCACAATCCACTGACTTTTGTTACATGAAGTAATGGGCTATAAGAATTTAGGAGTCATAATAAGCAGCGATCTCAAAACCACAAGTAACTGATAGGCTGCTGCTGCTGCTGCAAAAGGATATTGGTATTCGTAGATCTTTTCAGTATTTGGATGAAGAAATATTTAAATTATTATACTTGACTTTCGTTAGACCGCATTTGGAATATGTGATTCAAGTACCGAGTCCTTGTTTCAAGTATGAGGCAGATATGCTAGAACGAGTTCAACGACGAGGGATTAAAAAGGTAAAATGTCCATCTTGCCTATCTTATGAAGACAGACTGAGACACCTCAACTTTTTTCCATTATCTTACTCTATTATACCTCAGACTACCCTGTGTTCATAGCTAAAGACTTCACAAGTTCCACTATCATGGGATACGCAAGCGGAGGAGCGGATATTTACATTACTGGCTATGTATAAAAGGACGAAATCTCCTTTTACACATACACATTATATCCCTTCCTAGGTAGTGTTAACCTGATAATTATGGAGTAATGACGAAGTAGTGGACTAAACAAGTCTCTGTCACAGCCATAATAAGTGGCCCTAATTTGTCCACTAATGCTCTCAGTTCATAGAATTTATTTCCTAGGCTAAGAACACTTGCATATGAATCTCCTAGGAAGAACGACCTATCCACACAGAGCTTCGTAGCATTCGCTTGCAAGGTCTGACTATCCGAAAACCCACTACCGGAGATTTTCTTGAATATTTTGTCGACGGGTTCCTAGTTCAGCTAGCGCCGACTTCCTTTTTATTCTATCTTCTAGAGGTATATCAGTTCTTACTCGAATGTTAGTACTGTCGTGACAACGAGTGCTATCAAGCAGAAGATAACGTTGATTCTCCGACACTAGGATTATCTTAAGGAGTCCACATGGTCGGAGTTTAACTTTTTCGTCGGTCCTCTTACCTACTCGTATAAATTTTTCTAATTAAACTCCTTTAGTTTCATCTGGTAAGATACTACGGATAAATCCCCCGGTTTAGGGATCATAATAATTTGATTCTTGCAAATTACTCACAATGACATTCGACGAGATTAAACTCTTCTCAGCCACTCCTGGATGGAGTCCTGTCTTATTAACAGTCTTTGGTAGTGTATTGTGTGACTCAGAATGATAGTTCACTAATGACATGCCAACCAAGTGTGTGTCGTTTATAAAATTTTTTCACTTCTTTTTATTCGTATTGCCATCCATTTTCCATGACTCAGGACAACACCACCTGGATTATCTGGAACGGTGTCGGATTTATCCGGGTCTTTAATTTCTACTCATGTCAATATAAGGTGGCACTTCACTCCTCTTCAGTTTCAACGGAGATCTCCCTTTTCTGTCAATCATTGTCGGCTGTTTATCTCGTCCCGTAGCAGCACGTACTACACTGACACATTCTGCACTGTCAGTACTCGTGTTACCAACGCAACCACCATCTTCCTCGTTGCAGGCCGAAGATAAGTGGCTCATAGCCTCTTGAATCAATAGTGTCTTATGCGTACAGCAAAACATGCAGAGTCAATGTGAGTTAGGCTCAGAGCATCTTTTGTATTCGGTGGCACTTAGATGGGTACACATCTTATGAAACCACTTTTTAGACTCATCACATTGCACCCTTCCTTCATGGGGTATAAAAATTTGGGTGCCCTCATTTGTAAGTACTGCGAACCATTGTAATCACATTAGGAAGGTTTAAAACACAATATGAGCACAAGTGTCAGTGTCAATGAGAAAGAAGGCATCACAAAATTTCGAACCCTAACCGAAATATCTCAAGTTAAAGTGGACCAAGAATGCTTTCCGATGTAATAAGTACGAAAATTAAAGGTAAACACAAAAACTACTAAATCACTGCCCTTTTTATGACGTGTTTCGTAACTGCAGATACAGGGATCACCCTCTGACCAGGAATAATCAAAACAAAATGAGAAAAACTAAAAATACTGGTTGAAATCATGAGTCAATTGAAGCTAGACCACCACGGAAAACCTGGAAGCACTGGACGGCCGTTTCGTCCTAGTATGGGACTGCCCAGCAGTGTGCGCCCACGATCCCGCAACGCACACATCTGGAGTTCTAGTGAGAAGTCGTGACCAGTGGAGTTCAGCCAGGTATGTTGTGAGATATCAACTCACTGAAGACAATGGTGTACGGTGGCGCAACTTCGTGGATTGGTTGAAGTTAGACATTAACACCGTTGGATGCCGGCCCAGTGGTTTAATGCTTAAGTGCTCACGCGCGAAACCAGTAGGTCCTGGGTTCGAATGTCTCGGGAGGCAAGATCGTGGATGTGCACTGCTGAGCAGTCCCATACTAGGACGAAACGGCCGTCAAGTGCTTCCAGGTTTTCCATGGTGGTCTAGCTTCAATTGACTCATGATTTCAACTATTGAAATTTCTCAAAATTCCTGCAAAACCCATTCGGAAGCGTAATCAGAGTTTTAAAGAATAACCATTTGATTGGCTTGATGTTCATATCCGTATTATAGTGAGGCAGCTATATTCATGAAGCCATCTAGGAGTCAGTAAACTCTTAACCAGCTAACTTTAGCTGTTGCGACTGCAAAGAGATAAACACGAGCAGTTGTGCTTCATACCAACACTTTGTTGTCGATTAATAGGCTGTTCAATTATAATATATAGAACCCCAAATCGTGATGTTAAACATAACGTATCTTGTTCTTCTTTTTGAACTCTCTAAAGACAAAACGAAAGTTATAGCATGCAGTTTTAGGAGCTAAGAACAAGCAGGTTCGTCGTGGTAAGCAGGCCCTCCCACCGTGTATGCAGTTCTTAGAAGCATTAACTAGACTTTCAACCTACTCATTCAAGTTGTTACTTTGGTTTCTTAACGAAATATAAAAGCGTACATCCACTCGCAAAACGAGATTATATTGTTACATTATTGAATAGGTTTAACTATACGCTCTAGTTCATGGAAAAAATTTCCTTTTACTCCTTATAGTTTCAGTACGATTTGTCTACGCAGGATACTCCATGTTCGTTGACTGGATACTATCGGCAGCAGCCTACTGTGGGATAAAACAAACCATCTTCCACCTGAAGAGGAAATCAGGAAAAGATGTTGGAAGTGGATAGGACAGACTTTGCAGAAGTGACTTAACTGCATCACGAGGCAAACGCTAACTTGTAATCCTGAAGGGAAATGCAGAAAAGACAATAGAGCACACTGCGCTGTCAGTAGATACCAAAAGGATGAGTGGCAATTGGATAGAGGATGCTGGTGGGCAGCCTATATTCCTTCACGAAGGGAAAAAGGAGTAAGTGTGCTTTCTTACAGCCCCGTTCCTCCAGAACCGCATGAGTTGCTAGGTTCATATGCCGCGGGTCCGCAGCCCCACCACTTGTAATCACAGTTACTGACATATGTATACACGAAGTCAAAATCCTGTCATCTAGTTTATGAAATGTAAGGGTGTATGTATTGCACTTCATTTAGGGAG